TTAATTCCCAAAGGTGCTATATATTAGACCATGAAATTTCGGAATCATGGTGGAAAGTCATATAACGCTAGGGTTGATACTTCATACTTGCAGTACATTATACCTTTTTACCCTCTCCACTCTTTTATCGCTTATTATGAAGGGAGCGAGAATATTCCGTATTTAATAAAAAGCTGAGGGGGTGACACTCCAATATTGCGTATAATTTGAAACTTAGCGCTACCTCCTCGGTCATCAACAATAAAAAAAATACTTAATAAAATGACGGTCACCTAATATCTATTAATATTTTATTACTGTTCCGGACAATAATCGCAAATGAAAATTAAAAATAAAAGTTAGAATGTTGGGATGTTCTTAAATCACTCGAAATAATACCCTATCGTACGCCTTTTTTCCTTCTCTTTATGTTTTCATTAACGTGACACCACATTTGAAAGTATCAGCATATAAACGTAAACCGGTGCACTTTGATCTGAAACATTTTTTACATTCGGCCATCCTGTTCTCGTTGACTTTGACCCTTTTCGTGGATGCTGCCCACTTCTCTCTTCTAAATTATCAGCAGCTCCAACGCTCTGGTTGTCTACACCAACCTGCACCGCTTCGTCATAGGTTGAGTGCCACAGTTCAGGTATTTATCTCCATGGTTCAATTTTTCACATTCATATAGTACCCAGGTCACGGTAATGTAACCCAATCCAATGCAGGTCATAACGTTACACAAGATGCCCACGAGTTATAACCTCTTTATTCAGGATTCCAGCTCTTAACACAAGGCTACATCCTCTTCTTAACACTTTTCCTTTTCTCTAATATTACCCTCAACATAAAGCTACGACCTTCCTATTTTACTTTTCCACTCTTTTTTTATGCTTTCATTCCAAGTGAACTTCATCTTAGCAATCGAATCCAATTTTCGCTCACTCGCTGGAACACACCTCAAGAAAATGAAATAGTGGTACGCAAAAAACACTCCGACACGGTCGAATCCAGATACCAACTGAATTGCGTATTGGTGGTTGCTGGACACCTTAGTACCTCGTGTTAAGTTCAAAAAAGAAATAAACATTGTATTTTATAGTATTTTATGTACGCAGTTATGTCAATATTCCTTAATTAATTGAACTTCTGTACATCAAGTTGGAGATAGGTATTGAAAATTTTTTTCTCGAAAATTGTTGAGTTTAGGAGCCATGTCATATAAAGTTTTTTTCTTTATTTTAATGTATTGTATCGTCTGTTAAAATTAAGGCAGTCAAACTTCTAACATCCTGTATGGGTTGAGTTCTCTAACAATTTATAACAAATTCGAGAACCGTTTTCAATTTCTCACGCCCAAAAACTTCCAGGTCATATGTGTTTACTAACAAATTTTTTACTAAGGTAACTTGGATTAGATCATCATATTATGTAGTAGAAGTTTGTACAGACCTTTTAGACACACCCTGTATTTGCCTTTCACAATGTGTCACATTTCATATAGAATAAAATTTATTTATTTATCTAGCGATCCATCCCACTTCTGATATGTTACACCAAAATTAAAATATTACAAAATTTAATATTAATTCAATAAAATACAGGAATAATACATTTCGGCCTTTCGTAGGGAACCGTACGAGATTTGCGCTCTTTTTGTAAGACTATCATATGCCTTTCTTGCTGACCCTTATGTTTTTATTAAAATGATCTGGAATATTTTTTAATATTTTGCCGTCAGAAGTAAATTCGTATATATTTAAAAATAACTACATACAATAACGTTAACGCTGGAAAAATTTAAAAAGCTTTTTTATACCAAAAGCAATTTTGCCACAGGCGAAATGTGGGCATTTAAAAAACCTACTGCTGATTGTTTTAATTGTTTTATTGCTGTTATTTTGTAAAATAAACACTGGAAATAAATATATTACACAAGTAAAGCAAACAAGTCATATAAAATTCTGAACATTGTGTCGCTTTATTGCATGCACACGGAAAATTATGGGCAATCATGGCAGAACGAAATGTAACCGTAGAAAACTGGTTCGAGCACGACAGTTTTATTGTGGCAATATAAAAAATTGAAGACCCTTAGAGCTGAATCGTCAGTATCTGTTTAAATATGTTTACTGCGTAATTTATATTTAGCTCCTGCGATGATTTTTATTGTATTTTAAGTAAATATTCGACAGCTACTTTCTATATTTAAATAACGTAAACATTAATATTAACGTTATGACCTAAAAACTTCAAATCAAACCAAATCGTTTATTGGTGTCGATACAGTAAAATGTTACATTAAAAACAAGAAAGATACAACATATAAGCAATAGTACACTAAAGCTAAAAAACAAATACAGATAGATATAACGTAAACAGCATAAAAAAAGTAAATATTAAGAACTCATCAAAATTGTAAAACGCTCAGATGGAAGTCTATTAATGAATTTAATGCCAAAATAATTTGTGCCATCTATGGATTTCGCTAATCTGTGAAATTTTGGCCTTTCTCTTGTATGGTGGAAATGAAAATTTTCTTGTCGAACAAATCTATACTGATTATTTTTTATATAAATGAGGCATTCAAGTATGTAAACTGACGGCATTGTAAGAAGATTTAGCAGTTTGAAGTGCTCTCGACAATCATCTCTGTATTTTATTCCAGCCATACATTTATGTTGTAAACCAAAAATTTTATCACTGTGAGACGAATGACCCCAGTTAAGTCTGGTGACATGAAAAGTACCATGATAATATGCAGACATGAGTACAGGCTTAAAAACTTGACCATATTCTATGTAACATTTACAGGAGCTTAAGTTTTTAATAACTTGATTACAATAATAAAATGAAAGATTTAAAAAGAATTATATACCTAGTGGTTTTGAAAATTGCCGCATGACATGGAATATTTTACTTTTGTTTCCAACCTATGTTATTTTCTCGAACACAATTTTCTAAATACTCTCTCTTATTGTCTTATTGCTTACGACATTCGTGGTTCATTTATTTCAAGTATTCGTATATTTTTAATGTTTCTTCAAATAAAGTCATACTGTATATTTTTTTTGGAAAAAACTTTAACGGAAACGTTTCAACTTTTGAAACAATGATTTTCATGATTTAAAAGTGGTCGTCAGTCAAGTGAAGATGATCCTCGACTAGGAAGGCTTTCGACTTCAACTGATGAATTGCAGCAAAATTTGTTCCTCGTTTGTCGACCGAAAGAAAATCGTGTGGAATCGTCGACAACTCCTTGAAAAATCTAATGACGATGAAACATTCATTCAAAGGATCATAACGAGAGACGAAAGTCTCGTTATGTTTACGACATTTCAAAAAATTGTCAGAGCTTTCATGCTTTCGCACAGAAGGAAGTTCATTGGCGTGAGGTCTGAAGTTCTCGGAGATCATAAAATTAAATCACTTCGATCAGTGCAACCTCGTGGACATTTGGCAATCAAAAGCGACGAAATACACTGTTAAAATGCGGAGATGTTCCGTGTGCTTTAACAGTCTTTCTAGAGAAAGTCCAAATGCAAATCATTAAATAATATGCTCGTAGAAACGTGTGGAGCCCCTAGTGAAAGATATGGACCACAGATCAAATAGACTGCACTAATTGTCCTCTCAGTCGAGAAAGTGCAATTTAAAAAGCTAATTAAAACGCCACTATTTATTTTATTAAAAAAAAAATCAGATTCGTATTCAGGGGAACAGGTACTATAATCCTTACATAGTATCCAAAAGTATCAACTTAGAAATCGCACCGTACACGGACTGTGGGTTTGATTACTCAATAATAAAAATATGTATTGAAAAACATTGAAGGCAGTGAATTAATGCTGTAATAGCAGGCGTGATTAAATATTCAGTAACCTTGATTATCATTGAAATGAAAAGGGTATGAAATAATTTGGTTTGCGTTATTGGGACAATACCGTTGACAGCATACGTTTTCAAATTATTACCAATTAAAAATCTGATTGCCTGTTAAATCTTATTAACTTTCTGCTTAATTGACTTACTTAAACTATGTACAGTTTATGAAATAGCAGAGGCGTGTATAATTCAGATCAGTTCTTTATATTCCAATGTATTTTGACTAACTGAACATGAATCTGAAGTCAGATTGGGCCCATAAGGGCACAAATCCTTTCTAACCTTAAAAAAGCTTAAAATCCGCAAAATTAATAAATTAGCTTCTATGATCCAGGTATGATTTAACAGCTATTGAATATCGTATTCCCGTGTATTTCGACCCGCTGAATCTGAATCCGATGTCAGAATTGACCCAGCAAATCACCAGAATTGTCAAACCTGAAAAGATAGCTTAAAATCGCTAATATTCTCGAATTTTGGAATGATAAGGCTACAAATAACGCAAAAATATATTACTTCCATGAATTTAGTGCTACGTATATAGAGACCTGACCTGAACATCTGGTGCGAAAATTTCTTGGCCCCTAGTTATAAACGAACAGAATGGTTTTAAACATAATCTAAAGCATCCTTTTATTTTAGAACAAAATGTATTTTTTAGTTTCTATTTAATTAACTTTATATTCTATAATTTAATCAGTGTATATTAATTAATGTATATTTATATGGTTTAATATGGAACAGGTCAGAAAATTGCATTGCATTTTCTGAATTTTAACAAATCATAATTTATTCATTGTTCCATTAATTCAGGAACATAATGCATATATTAATTTAATGCTATTTTAATTTACGTTCACTATGCAAATATGTTACATATAATTACGGATACACTTTTAAATTTATATTTACGGATGTTTTCTTTAGTAAAAAATACTTTCCTTTCTTAAATATCACAATTTATTATTAGGGATAAATTATACATTTTTTTTAAGCGCGCACTGTTATGCGCTTTTAGCAGACCAAAATTGTTGATCGTCTTAAGAAATTTCCTAACAAATGTAATTAATTAATGTGGATAGATACTTTTCATATTTTAATATAACTTAATAGAGAAAATACTAAATACCAACCTGATGATGTGGCCTGCTTACAGGTGGTGGTGCCCCCATGCTATGATGATACATCATGTCATGCTTCAGCTGGGGGAGACCCCCCGGCCCACCGGTCCCTTGGTGTTTTATATCAACAGCGGCTAACGCCTCTGCACGGCTTATCAGTCCATCGTTTAGTCCGGAGAACAGGTCTCCCTAAAAATAACATAAATAACGTTATAATAGCTTCAGCATATTTTAAGGGTAAATATGTAATGGGTGAAAATATTTCACAATTAACATCACGAGATTCGCAGTTCACATGGCATGAAAAGTAAGGCGGTAAATGATAAATTATTTATGAATTTTTGGATCATTAAGATGGGAAATTGGGTATAGGCAGGAGTCTATTTGTTGTGGAATTAATAAATTATTTACTCATGGCTTAACAGGGCTTTTCAACGACAATAACACAGGTCTACTTTTAGTTTGAAAAAAACACCTGACTCTACCTAGGTACCGAGGGGTTTTTGGGGTCATTGATTCCGATGTTGAGGTCGGTTAAAGGTCAAACAAAGGAAAGAAGGTTGAAAAAATCTGAAAAAATTCATACATAGGTTTTTTGGATCGCTGAGGCCGATGTCGGTTTACCTCTGTCAACGTCGTTTGAAGGTTAAAGTAAGAATAGGAGGTAAAAAGAATTGGAAAAATTTTTACGTATGCTCACCTGCCTACACTTTTGTCTGTTTACCTGTCTTCCTTTTTACCTGCATACCCTCTGTCTAAATGTCATAGGAATATTTGAAACTCCATTTTCTTCACTCTCATCCTGATTGATTCCCAGAAAATCTAGGAACTTTTAGTGAAGAACAAGGAGAAAGACCGCACCATGACCTGAATAAGTCTGCACAAAGATATCAAGGTGTTTGGGAGAAGAATATGTCAGCAGACTATCGCTGGAATCTAAAGAGAGACACAAATAAAGCACATAAAAGAAAAGCGATTCGAAGATCATTCCAGGAACAACTTAAGCGTTCTCGCCTGAATTTCGATTAATACACATGTGCTGAGAGACAAGCGAATTACATTGATGAAGGCTATCAAAAGCTTTTTTTAATCTAGTTTTTGTGTCATGCAAAACCGAGGCAGAGGATGGTAGGCAGAAAGGTAAGAAGACAAACTGTCAAGGAGGCAGACAGATTGTCAGTGGACATTTGGACAGAGGGTGCTAGGAAAACAGACATATAGAAACATTTAGTTATTTAGTCAGACAGGAAGATAGACAAAATTATCGACAGAAAGGCAGGTCTCAAGTAGGACAGAAAGAAAATACAGGTGGACGATAAATATAGACTAACAAGCAAACAAACAGGTATGCAGGTAAAAAGCAGACAGATAAACAGACAAAAGTAGGTAGGTGAATATTCCTAAAAGTTTTTTACAATTTTTTTCACCTCTTATCCTTATTTTAACCTTCATTAGTGACCCCAAAAATCCCTGGGTATCTAGGTAGAGTCCGGTGTTTTTTTTTTTCAAACTAAATGTTGACCTGTGTAATCATCTCTCGGCAATGAACAAACCTTTCTTATTTTTTAACTTCTAAGAAAAACGTTGTAAGATTTTATTAGATTAAGTTTTTGAGATTTATTCTTATAAAGGGTGTTCCAAAATTCACACAATTTTTATAGATATTAACGTAGTTAATTAAAAATTGTAATTTTTTTGTTGATTCATAACGTATACAATGTAGGGTTCTCGGTTCTGTATGGAATAGCACTCTTTTGTCGAAATTTCCATGACCGTTTTGTATAAACGCAGCTGAAGGCGTGGGTGGTCGTGGGATTGTTGGGATGAACGTTAGACAAACAACCCGAAAGAAGAAAGTCCAACGGCATGATCTGGGCAGACAATTCTGATCACATGAACCGGAAATTACACGATCACGATCACCTTTGCATTAAATTTTAGGTGGACACAGTAATTTTTGCAGAAATTTAGTAATTCTTAACGAATGATTTTTAGACAGAGTGCGGAGTATGTCAGTCTTTACAGGAAACAGGAAACGTATCAGACTTTCTCTTTAGAGATTTCCTCCTTTCCGTCCTTTTCGTTGACGTATTTTATATTGCAGCTTTAAAGTGTGACTTATAAAGTGACAACGTAAGTGAAATTTAATGTAAATGTTTAGATAAAATGACAACACGTCTGATAGAATTCATACAAGCCTGAAATAAAACGAGAAACCGGTCGTGTGAGAGTAAAATAAAAATTCTGACTAACAGTTTTTATAGTAGTAATTTTGTTAAGCTGGAGATCCACATGCACACACATGCAGAAATGAAAACCTCGTTTGTTTGTTTTTTTAGTGAATTCAAGTACACATTCGAGCACGAAGGGATACGGGCGAAAGTTTAACTGTATAACTGTACAAGGGTGTAAAAAAGATCACCATAAAACAAGAAAAAAAGTTTCTGTAAACACATGTCTGTAAACGCTTGCTAACTGAGATGCAGAAAAATAAAGATAATACAATTTGTTTAGTAAATTGACAGAAAATATATCAACATGGTTAACATTTTGATGTCTACAACATATTTTCAAAAAATGAACCTCCATCCCCCACACAACATTTAACTTTCCTCAAAAACGTTCTCACGTGTATATTTCAGGGTTACAAGCTGCCTCTAGCCTTATAACTCATGCATGGTATTGTGCTGAGGCTAGAATTTTCTTTAAGAAAAACAGAAAGCGTCATAAAAAATTTCACAATAATATCTTATGTTTAATTTGTTCGCCGTAATTGATTCCAGGTTCAGTCTGACAGTGTAAAGAGAGGAACCATTAATCTTATGTACTAGATTCGCATATTTGAAAGCACAGATATTGTTTTGTTATGTTTAAGGTATTGACATTTACTAAATAATTCTTTATATACCCGTGAGAACTAAAATAATAAAAATATTGTTAACTTGTGGATATATTTATTTACACACTCATTTTCCAGAGCTTTGGTTTACATCTAGATACGCCTCTACTCTCTTTGAATACTTGAAGATGTAGTTAATCAGAGGTAAGTACCTTAAAATCCCCCGCGTTTACAAACCAAACACGACTCATGCCGAATCTGGTAAATATAAGATTGATGATTCGGTCTTGGCCTCGGACCAAGGCACCTTGTGTTTCAAAGCGTTTACAGCATTTCGTTTTGCCTCACACCCGTTTGTGCACAGCTCTTTACACTAAATTTCGGGTAACAATAGTCGTCAACATCAACATTCATGAAAGACAAGGAATCTTTTTAATTGTAACTATCAAAACAAAAAACAAAACTAAATTTTTGTAACATCAGAATACTGTTTAGCAACGTTCAACAAAGTTGACATTTATCATTAGAGATATTTATTAAAATTAGACATCATCACATATACTGGTGATTTAAATAATATATTGAGACATTTAAATGTTATTGCGTGGCGAGAATTCAACTTTGATGTTGCAACCGTCATAAGTTCAGTACCTTGTATCTTTTGAAGTAAAATTAATGTAATATTTAAATTTCTACTTAGATTTTGTTCAAATACAATACTTAATCAAATTAAATTTTGTCCTTATTTTTAATTATGAAGCGAATATAGGCTTTTTACTAGATTTTCTGTAACAACTCTGTATAATACATGTATTGTTAGCTAGGTAATAATCTTTACCGGTTAAAACAAATGAAGAGTTATAGTACTAAAGACAAGTGATAATCGTTGTAATTCCATTCCTACTCGTTTGTTTCAGAAGGGTGAAAACAGGAGATTTATCATCAGTCCCAACTCATTTAGAGGTTAGGTTATACACCCCCATTTGTCTTTCTTTGCTCCGCTTACAAATTATCTCATTCCCTTTACATTATAAGCAATCAAGCAATTGAAAAACGTAATAATTGCATTGCTCGCAATTTCTCTAATTAATTATCTCGATTAGGAGCAATCTACATTTTTTGAGGGTTGAGTCAAGTAAAAATGTATATGAAGATATACAATTCTGCGAATTGTATAAGAGTGCTATATGCTGTATGCTGCACGGCAGTAGCCGGAATAAATTTTTAACTAATGATATTGTGAGAAACAGCTACTCTGCGGGCTATACAGGGTGGTTACTTTTGAGGTATACACCATTAGTATATTCTGATAAAAATATTTAAATTTATAACTAATGATTTATAACTATTTAATATCTCGTTAAATATAGTTGTCAAAAGGTCTCCACGAAGCGAAATAATTTTATCACATTTTTTTTAAACAATTATCCGACTTTGAATGTTAACGTGAAATCTAAAACTTTTGGTAACTTAACAATGTTCCTATTTGTTGAAAAATAAACGAAAAATAGTGTCTAAATAATACGATATTTTATATATCAACAATTAGTATCATAAACACAGTGGAAAATATGGGAAAAAATTCCTTCGCACTCGGCTATTTTAACCATACAGTGGTAATTACTTTTTTATTCTTCCTCAAATGTGCTTCATTTTTTTATGATCCTGGTGCGATAATTTGATCTATATAGGAATTTTTTAAATCGAGTGAGAATCCATCAACCTCAACTCCAAACATAATAATTCGGCATTTAAATATAAAAAAAATAAAAAATTTCACATCTGAGGTTGATTAATTTTGTTCATACGGACCTTCGTTAACAAGTTACGGTCCCTTAAATGTGAAAATTAAATAGTTGTTTTTATTTACTGTCTCTAAACTATTAATTTCAGCATGATGCAAAGTTGATGATCGATAACACATGCGTATAACTTATTTTTTATTTTGTAAGTGAAATTTAATTGTGACCAGAACGCCAGAGACGGACTATATCCAAAGGTTAACAACCCAGAACATTTGCATAGATGACGATCGCAATCTCCCTGCATAAAAAATATGTTGCCTGGATAATTTGCCAACGATAATACCCTCTTGGTTCAACTCGGTAAAATTAACAGTTTAGGACATATTTGTGGTTTTATGTTACGGTGCATATCGAGCGGCGCCTCCACCATTTTTTGGTTTTCATTTTTAATTGGACATAATTACTATGTTAGAATCGTACATATTTTTAAAATAAGAGCCTAGAAAATCTTACTGTCTGCTAATGTCATTTTCACTAACAAAATTTGACAAACACACTTTATACATAACACAAAATGAAAAACAAAACAAAAATAAATTAAAATA